CAGTTACAACACAAATCTCTAGTTCAATGTGAATTCAGCTCCAAAAAAGCGCAAGAAAAAGTGAAATCGAAAATTGCACCCACATGATCCAAGGAGCCAAGGAGGTCGAGGCCGGAGATCACAAAGTAAGCAAGTGTAAGATGATTAATCTCTTGCGTTTGATACTCACTGGGCAACAACTGGTACATCATCTCCAAGAATATCACATGACGATCTCTATCGAAACCAGAAGAAGAAGAAGAAGTGGGCGATTCTTCAGACAGATTCGACTCTGAATCCATTGCGACGCCTTTCAATTCCAGGTGACTGAAAGACTCCTGGTTTCACCGCGTCGCCACTGCGATGTTCTTGGCCTCTTTGGTATTTTATTTGACCTTCACTTCCATATTTAAATATTTATAAAAATTCTCATTTTTATATGTAATTTAAACATTAAGCTTGGTTAAACTGAAATGTCTGATTTTTTTTTTCAATAAAACATAAAAAAGGTAAGTGATCCCTCTTAGTATATTTCTGTTTAGCTATGTTCAGGTTTGAAATATCGATATAAATGAATTATAGATTTGATAATTTCAACTAATTTAAAATTTATTTTGATGATACTTGTCTCATAGTTAAATTAGAATTTGTGTATATTTTTTTTAGTTCAATTAACATGGGGGAAATTAAATTTTGTACGTCATTTTTAGTTGATTCTTTAATTTGGCTATGGAGAAAAGCTTTAAACCGTCAAAAGAGATGTGTTCAAGGTATTTTGGGAATTTTTGAAAATTCAGTTGGAGTATAGAAGAAGGTTGTTAAAAAGAATTAGGCCTTCACATTCCTTTTCAAAAAAGAAAAAAAAAATCCTTATGTAGCTTTAGGTCATCATTCCATGATGTCATCACGAATACATGTGCTAATTTGATAAGCAATTGAGTGTGCTCGAAATTAGATACAAAGTAAGTTCTTATCAACCGGTAGATTTACCATTAAAAAATTAGCAGTTGTTTAGAAAAAGTTTGAAATTTTAGAATAGATAGATTATAGGTGTTCCAATAATTTGTATGAAATGATATTCTAGACAAAAATATATCTATATTTATTTTTCTCCATAAGAGAGTTTTTTTTAGTATAACATGTAAGAGTGGAGAATCGAACTCACAACCTCCTGCAATTACTCGCCAATTTCTTTATAATGTTTTTTTTTTCACCACCAGGACCCGTGTGTATAAATATTTACATTCACGAAATCACAAGATATTTTGTAAATAATTGCTATATATATATATGGCATCCACAAAATTACAATTTTTCTAATACTACAAACCATATAAGGTGAAGATTTGATTTTTTTTTCTTTTTTTTTTTTTTTGAAAGAAGATGAAAAATTATTATAGGTGAGATGTCACTTGCTCCCATCTTGGGCTACATTAGTGGAGATATTAATCTCAATAAGGCATTGAAACCAATTAGGGAAATTGGTAAATCAAGAAAGAGAGTTAGAGGTTCACAAATTGTATTTGACAAGAGTCTGCCAAGTTATCGAGCTCATGTGGAACATATTGTAAAGAGAAAGAGCTGAAGTAGCTTGCTTTAAATCTTATGTAGTTAACTCAATGATTTCCATCTCCAAGTGACTCAATCTCCAACTAAATAAGCTTGATTGCAACAAATGAATTTGATTTTACAATTATTTGGGGAATTAAGAAGACAGGCATCTAAGCAGGTGCCTTCTAGAACTGCAAACAGCTCGACAAAAAGCGGAGCATGAGGAATTAGTCGAAAAAAATGGTTTGAGCTGCTTGGATGTTACTCAAAGAACCCCGTATAAGAAGATCCATACTAGTAGATCGGGAGTGATTGCATTTTGAGTATACACAAGGGAGTGGCTTATTATGAAGAGACCACAGAGCACAATAAGTTATGACTATTAATTCTTTTCCTTTTTCCGCTTGGAGGACTTTGTAGATGAACTCACACATCAACAAAAGGAATCATATTAGCGCTCTTGGGAAGAATAACAGCAGGCAGTAAACTCCTCCAATCGATTATGCACAATGACAAGAGAAGATCAAATGGAGTGATGTTTCAGAGTTGTAGTGACAACCATGGTAGTATGGCGAGATTTTAAACCTTTCTTTTAGAGGAACGTAGAAAATCATGTGTAGTTTAAGATTTGACCTCTCACTTGAATTGGTCAGTAAAAAATAAATGCGAATCCCATCAAAGTAGATTTGCATTTTGTAAAAACGTGTTCTTAAATAGAAACCTAAACTGTGGTAAAAAAAAAAAGAGAAAAAAAACCTAAATGCATCTAGACCTTGAAATAAAAAAGGGAGAAAAATGGATTAATGAACCTGTTATAAATTAATTATAGATATTAAATAAGGGTATGATCTAAAATTTGCTATTGTTATTAAAAAAGCTTCAATTTAATCTCATATTTTTAATATTTTTCAATTATACCATGTATATCAGTGGTGTTAAAATTAATTAGGATAAATTTAGGTCACATAGTAGTTAGTGAATTAAATCACTAGGATAAATAGGAAGAAAAAGTCAAATCATTTAAAACAGGAAAGCTTCAAATCCTTTTTCCAAATTTCTCATAGTAGGGCAAAGTTTATATCAATTCACTCAGAATCTATATAAATTTATTTTCAGCTAATTTTATATTTATAAAGAGTATGATTATTGTGAGTGATTGGTTGATCTAAAAGAGTTTTTATTTTTATTTTTATTTTTATTTTTACGATCGTTGATCCAAAAGAATTAATTGAGAATTAGTTGAAATCTAAATGCACAGTAAAAAAAGGTAAAAACAAAAGAGATTAAACTTCTTCTTTTATTATTATTTTTATTTTCGAGACAAATATATATTGAGCTACTAAAATTTATTGACCCAGTTAAAAGTAAAAATTATTGGCAAAATTCGTAACCCAGAACCCTTGGAACCGCACTCCAATTTTCGGCTTCCTTCTTCGCGAGCGCACCACGGACACGTCTGTTCTTCGAAAGCTGCTTATAATCGAGCACTTGGAGTTAAATTTCGCATATTTTTCGCTGCAAATATGATGAAAACCAGCAAGACGACGCTGTTAACATTTGCGCAGAGGTGTAAGGTGCGCCCCCTTTCCATCTTCCTCTGAAATCAGTATAACAAAATTTAATATTCAGCAAACTGATCTCTGGATTCGTACTTCGCTAGTTTTTAGTATTTTGACTTTGAATGTGTTTTTTGTATGTTTGTTTCAGAATATTCTTGCTTCCAACTGGATTGGCAGTCTCAATACGATCAAAGCCGATGCCAAAGGAAGGTACCCATTTCTCCTCACGCTCGTGTTTTCTTCTCTTTTCACTGTGTTGTTGCAGTCACTTCAGTTTCTTGTTTGCATATTAACAAAATGGCCTTCGCTGATTTCTTTTGGTTGATTGTGTTTTTCTTAGCAAGGAGGACATTCACACCTCAAAAGTTATGTATATGATCAGGAAAGGAAGGCCATACATTTGGGTTCCTGAAAAGGATTTGCACAACGTGGTATGCTTCAGGATTCTCAAAGTTGTTCTTTAAAGCCTCAATCTGAGGTCCTGGTTTAACTGATTTTAATTAATTTATTGACTTAGTTTAGATCGACTTATCGTGTCTAGTGTTGTTATATGTCAAATTACCCGCTGGTGTTTTGATGTTTGTATAGGTTTGTTGAGTAACTAACAGATTTTTTTGTCTATGTGAGAAACTGAGATTTGGCTAAATCATCCATAGTGCTGGAATAATTTATGCATTCGAGGAGGATGTCTTACACCTCTTCTTAACTCCCCTGTTCTTCCCTTCCTCAAATGTCAGCTCAAATTTTGATATTTGAAGTGCCCACCTTGTACACACTCTAGAGTATCGTGGTGCTTTTGCCCTCAAAATAGAAAATGTAGAGCTAAGCCCTATTAGATCATGATTTTGTCTTTAGTTTTCTGTTTTAAAAATTAAGCTAAAAAAATTACTTATACATATGCTTGTTTTGTTTAATTTGTCCTTTTGGAAATATTTTTAAAATCTTAACCACATTTTGCATAAAACAAGTTTTCGTAGTGCGTAGGAAAGTATGAGTAAATAAGAAAAACATATATTGTTCTGTTTTCCTGCAGAATACGATCATTGATGAGCGTGGTTCATTTGCCGTGGCTAGTCCATTCCCAGGTCCACTGGCTAACTTGTTCATATCGCTGGAAAAGGTGAGATTGGGATGCATTAACGGTAATTTTCTTTTGAAGTATCTCTGCTGTAGGAGACAATATGTACCTAAATGGTACTGCTTTCTTTCAATCTGCAAAGTTACCATGCTCCTGGAAGGAGCTTGTGACACTAATTATAGCACTTCAAAACTTCTAGCAACTATCCTACATATTTGTCCATTTTCATCCTGCAGTTACCACCACGGGTTGCGCTTACTGGAGACATCGTACGTCTCAAGAGTGAAAAGGTACAACATCCTCTCAACTTAGAATGTAAAATTTACTGTTTGACGGTGGAATGCTACACATACATTGCATCTTCACTCAGCTTGCCATGCTTTAATGTTGCTGTAGGGTTGGACCTTCTTCCTGATAATTGTCAGGAGAAGGTTTCTTTCTCAATAGCTTTTAATATTTGAATGTTCAATAGAAATTTTGGCTCGAACCAGAATGAGTTTAAACCATGGTGTGCACCTACCTAGGATTTAATATTCTACAAGTTACCTTGTCAACCAAATGTAGTAGGATCAGGTGGTTGGCCCGTAATTAGTCGAGGTGCGTGCAAGCTGACCCAGACACACGGATATAAAAAAAAAAAGGAAATTTCGGCTCAAAATAGGTGTCTAACCCAAACCAATTTGAACCAGTCAGTTAAGCCAAAACAGGGTTTCAAGAATAATTGTTTTGGTCTGGTAGAAAACCGAACCATGAACATTCTTACTTAATGAGAAAAGTAAGAGGCCAAGCAGTTAAATTTTATCCTTATCTTCTCGCCCCCAATGCAAAAGGTTTTATTTGAATCATATTTTGAAAGACATGGGATTCAGTTCTCCCATTTATTTTGCCCGGGTTTTTTTCAGATTTGGAATTACCAGATTAAAAGCCGTTTCTTGAAGTATTATATTTTGATCTCGACTATATTAGACAGTCTAATTACAGGCTCAGGATGCTGTGGAAAAGCTCAGAGAGGCCATACTGTCGGAACAGGAAGCCATTGAAGACTTTGGTAGTACAGTCTCCAACGTCTTAAGATCTTCCAATCTTAAATATACATCACGCAGCCAACACCTCAAAGAGTTCTTAGTGGGGAACGAAAAATGCGTGATCTGTAAGTTTGATGTGAGGTATGGGATTTTTTTCCAAAAATGTTTCGGTCTTGAAATAATATGTAAGAGCACATTTGAGTTGAGATTTCTGTTGCCCAGATCAAGTATGTTTATTGATTGTAAAGGAGGAATGCACGAGGTCGACACCGAGGACTTCAGCACATCGAAAGCAGATACATTAGGTAGACACTTCCCAATCCTTCACTATTTATTTACTTGCTGTAAATCCCCTCTTTAACTTAATCATTCTGGATTTGTTTGTTATTTCCCTTAGCGCCTTTCTCAGCAGCGCTTGTTGATGGAATCAACCAGAGCGACGCAAGACGTAGAGCCCTGATGCTCTTCTGCCTTGTTTACTTCAATGCAAATCCGAAGGTACAAAAACCTTCATTTTTATTTTTTATGCAAATTTGGACCTGTTTCGATAGTGCCCATTCTTTACTGTTCCGTTTCTTCATCTTGGCTGTCTTTGCTGGGATTTTGTAAACCTGCAATTGGAGTAAACTCTGTTTTTCCCATGTTGAAGGATGCCTATATAGTATCGGTGGACCGCAAGGGGTTCGATTTGCTGGGAAAAGTGCCAAGCCCGGCAGTTAATGATGGACTTGGTCAGTACGAGTGGAAAGAATTCAGATTTACACTAAAGAATGAAGCAGCGAACATTGCAGCCTTCTGCCAACAATTAATGGAAATGGAAGAGGAGGTTGTGAAGAGAGTTTCCAGCTACAGTGGTCTTGGTTAGTCTCCCGGCAGATAAGATTGCCGAGGATTGTACAACTTTTGAACAATTACAATTCACTTAATACTTGGTAGTAAAATTGGGAGTAATTTACTACTAAAGAGAGCTGTTGTAGGTGAAAAATATACTTGAACACAACATATAAAAATTACAATACATTGAAAAACCAGAAAGCCAAGCTTATATCAAAACGCGAATTACAATCTCAGAATAGTTGAAAGCTTGAGCAATTCGAAGGAAAGAAAATAGAAGACGTTCAGTTTAATCAACTTCTTCAATTTTAGGACCAGCGCCACTGCCGCCAGAAGGAGGAGCATCATCATCCATTGCGCCGCCCATGTCGCCACCAGCACCTTGATACATCTTTGCTATGATGGGGTTGCAGAGTGACTCAAGTTCCTTCATCTTGTCTTCAAATTCATCCGACTCGGCAAGCTGGTTGCTGTCCAGCCACTGAATAGCCTGTTCAACTGCATCTTCAATCTTCTTCTTATCTGCTGGGGCAAGTTTACCGCCTATCTTCTCATCTCTGATGGTGTTCCTCATGTTGTATGCGTAGTTCTCCAAGGTGTTTTTCGATTCGACTTTCTTCTTGTGTTCCTCGTCCTCGGCCTTGAATTTTTCTGCTTCCTGAACCAGTTTCTCGATCTCCTCTTTCGACAACCTTCCTTTGTCGTTGGTAATGGTGATCTTGTTCTTCTGTCCGGTGGTCTTGTCCTCTGCAGAAACATTAAGGATACCATTGGCATCAATGTCGAAGCAAACGTTGATCTGGGGAACACCTCTCGGAGCTGGAGGAATGCCAGAAAGCTCGAACTTGCCCAACAAATTGTTATCTCGGGTTCTCGTCCTTTCACCCTCATAGACCTGAATGAGAACACCGGGTTGGTTATCTGAGTATGTGGAGAAGACTTGCTCCTTCTTGGTGGGTATGGTGGTATTCCTGGGGATCAAAACTGTCATCACACCTCCAGCAGTCTCCAAACCAAGGGACAGAGGAGTGACATCCAGAAGCAGAAGATCCTGAACTTTCTCATTTCCTTCACCACACAATATGGCAGCTTGAACTGCAGCCCCGTAAGCAACTGCCTCATCAGGATTGATACTCTTGCACAGTTCCTTGCCATTGAAGAAATCCTGCAATAGCTGCTGCACCTTAGGAATCCTCGTAGAGCCACCAACAAGGACAACATCATGGACACTGCTTTTGTCCATCTTTGCATCTCTCAAACACTTCTCAACTGGCTCCATACACTTCCTGAACAGGTCCATGTTGAGCTCCTCAAACCTAGCACGAGTGATGGTTGTGTAGAAATCGATTCCCTCGTACAAAGAATCAATCTCGATTGTAGTTTGAGCGGTGGATGAAAGGGTCCTCTTGGCCCTCTCACAAGCAGTCCTCAATCTCCTGAGAGCCCTCGGGTTTCCACTGATGTCCTTCTTATTCTTCCTCTTGAATTCTTGAACGAAGTGGTTAACCAATCTGTTGTCGAAGTCCTCACCTCCAAGATGAGTGTCACCGGCCGTTGCCTTCACCTCAAAAATACCTTCCTCAATTGTGAGGAGGGAGACATCAAATGTTCCTCCACCCAGATCAAATATCAGTACATTCTTCTCGCCAACGCTGGTCGCCTTTTTGTCGAGTCCATATGCAATGGCTGCAGCTGTAGGCTCGTTAATGATCCTCATGACATTAAGGCCGGCAATGACTCCGGCATCTTTTGTGGCCTGACGCTGGGAGTCATTGAAGTAGGCAGGAACGGTGACGACCGCGTTCTTGATAGACGAGCCGAGGTAAGCTTCAGCTATCTCACGCATTTTGGTGAGGACCATGGATGAGATTTCTTCAGCGGCAAATTGCTTCTCTTCGCCTTTATAGTTGACGACGATCATCGGTTTGTCACCTGGACCGGCGATGACCTTGAACGGCCACAATTTCATATCGCTCTGGACCGAGGGGTCGGAAAATCTCCTTCCAATCAACCGTTTCGCATCTGTCGGATTGTAATCGATGGTTAGTATTTAGCAGAATCAAGTAATCTCGAGAGTGAAACTTGGAACAACACAGAGTTACGATCAACGAAGACAATCGCCGAAAAATTAGGCGAGGTAGTAATGGAACTACAAATGCAGTCAACAATTACCGAAATTACGGAACTGTCATTTGGAGAGTGTTTTTGGAAACAAAATTTTCATCATTATTCTCTGGTATATTTTCTTAAACCCAAAATCACGAGCGCACAATAATTTTTAGTCATAAAAATCCGATCAGACCGGTTCTAAGAACAAAAACAAAAGAATCATTTCTGAGCAAAACAAATCCTAGATTTCCTATTCGCAAAGACGTAAGGATGAAGACCACAACTTAAGTTCACAGCCAGACGACATCAAATCGCATAAACACGAGAGAGAATAACAAAATCCACAACAGCAAAACGAATGCAAATAATTCGCGGATTTACTTACCGAAGACAGTGTTGATGGGATTCATAGCGACCTGGTTCTTAGCAGCATCGCCGATGAGACGCTCGCTATCGGTGAAACCAACATAAGACGGCGTCGTTCGATTCCCCTGATCATTCGCAATAATCTCAACACGATCGTGCTGCCATACTCCAACACACGAGTAAGTCGTACCGAGATCGATACCAATGGCCGGACCCTCGCCCTTTCCCGCCATTAACGACGATTTACAAACGAAGTTCAAGAACTAACAGGTGGAGAAAGAATTCGAGAAAAGAATTGGAGAACAGAGGGCTGTGAATGCTAATGGAAGAGATGAAATTGCTTAGAGCGAATATGGTATAATCTGAAGAACACTGGTGATGGGGATTGGAATTTATACGGGTTGTCCCGTGAAGTGAGAGAGAATCTGGAGAGTTCTGGGAAGAACTATCTCTAGAATGTTCTGTGGTAAATAAAAATTATTAAAACGAAGATTGGTTGAGTCGGCGTCTCAGTCAGACGTTTGTGGGTCGTATGATATCCACGCAATTTCTTCAATGCCGTCAACGAAGGCTATAGCCTCTACATGTGACTGTCCACACTTTTTCTTATCTTCCAAATTTAATTTAAATACAACAAAACGAATTGAATTAAATCTTTTTTTTTTTTAACAATCAAAATGGACTCAAATTTGTTTAATATTTAACTGAAAAAAATAATTTTTTAAACTGTAAATTCGAATATTTTATTCAATTTTTCTTTTCTAATTTACCAATTAATTTTAACAAAAAGAAGTTAAATTATAAAAGTACTATTTGAACTTTGCTATTTATTTAAAAAGGATCCATATCATTTGAAATGTTTCAAAGTAGCTTTGATAAATGTTTCAAAAAATAAGTAAATATTTATTAATATTTTGAGGCGGCCAAATTTAAAATATATGATAATTAATGGACTTGACACTACAATGTTCAATTATGAGTCCTCATTTTCCTAACTAATGTTCAGATGCGACCAACAATTTTAATATTTTTAGTAGATGCTAAAGAAGTGGGCAAAATTTGAATTAATTTCTTCGATCTCTACTCTCTCACATGTCCGAAAAGCATCCGAAATATGGCTTTCGGTGAGCAAGCAAAAGTTTATAACTCCAAACTTTGTATTTCGGTAAGCAAGCAAAAGTTTATAACTCCAAACTTTTTCAAGCATAAGATAAGATACAAAATTCCAACAACTAGAATTATATTTCAACCATTCAAAGTTTTATACCCAAAGGTTTATATAAACACATAAATGTTACTATTAAAAAAATATTTGTCAAGTTAAATACACTTCTATCTATTGAAATAGCGATAATTTTTTTTAAAAGTTAAAAAAGTTCAAATTTCACCTTCACTAATTTGAAGAAACGAATAAAAATATGCCCTCCTCAAGATTCAGGAGGAAGTTTCTCCTGAATTCATGTATGGTCCAGTTGGATTTTTTTAATTTTGTATAATTCCTATGTGATGCACTTATCTATATGTTATTGGACCACATAAGGATTCAGGAGTGAAATTTTTTCCTAAAAATATTAACTAATAACTCTCCGAACATTGAAATTTAAGAAGTCCCTAAAAGTTCTTCTTCTTTTTTCTTTTTAATATTTTTTTTGTCCCAATATATATATATATAACTTTGATTTAATTTATCCTTTTATTTTCAAAAAGTTCAATTTAATAATTGTATTTTCAACTTTTCTTAATTTTAGTCATTATTATTTTAAAATGTCTGTTTTAGTACCTGTATTTTTTTAAAGTGACCAATTTAGTCCTTATTTACAAAATACAAATTGATATACAATAAAAATCATTTAATACACATTTATGACTACATTTCAAAAAATTTAGTGAATGAAGTGTGGTACTAAAATTATGATCCAACGATATAAGATAAATAAATATTATAGCTGTGATCAAAATAGATGTTTAGAAAGTAAGATTAAAATGAACCAAAGTTGAAACTATATGAATCAAAATGTAGGTTTTATATGAGTGATTACGTGTTGTTGAGTAAGTGGGGTGTTTTATATTAATATTTAATAAAATTATTCAATAATATTTAATAAAATTATTCCGGGTTCAATTATTGATTAAACTAGTTCAAACATTAATAAATATATAATATAAAAAAATCATCAACAACAAAAGCTACAATCATTAAAATAAAAGATAAAATGTATAATAAACAATATTATATGAAACATATATTGTTCAAATATTTTGGGCTACGTTTGTCGTTCGTAACCCAGTCCATCAACTTTACTGGGCCGGCTCGTAAAGCATCTTGCGGATTTGGCGACTCAAACTCAGTAAGTTTGGCCCAATGAAGGCAGGCTAACACAAGAAGGGGCCCATAGACATTCTTCGAGTCTAGTCTGCTGAAAGCCCAGCCCAAACCAGTCCTCAACCAAGCCTAGAACACCTCAGGCTCAAAGGTTGAAGGGGAGTGCAAATCCATAGAAATTGAGACAAAATTTTATATATATATTAGATAAAAAGTAAATAGCAACATATCTAGCTACAAGTAAAACACATCAATTATGATTATAGAAAGTTAATATCCAAATTAATCCAGGTTTATTAAGGTTGATTAACTAATAAGTACTTTTTATTCTGTTATGCTTTTTTGAATTCAACAATTTGTTGGAGTGGAAGTCGAACCATCGTCCTTTAAGATAGTAATAAGTACCTTTGCTAAGTTAAAAATAATTAACTATTAAAAATCTAAATTTTTTCTTTTGACTAACAAACAGAATAATAAAGATGCGAGAGAGTTAAGAAACTGAGTTTCAAAGGAGTGTCACAACCTTAGCTTTGCACACGATGTCCTTGTTCAACTCCCTAGAGATTGCAGATTGGAGCTTCCTCAAACTAAATTTCGGCCCTTTCTTCTTCAATTGCCAATTATGCTGCTGCATGGATCACATGACACCCTAGTTATTTGGTAACTGATTTTTAGATAGTTGGCGCGATTGGTTGCTCGTGGCACCACCCAGTTGTGCCAGCAGCCAACTCCGRCGTGTCAGCTTAGTTATCCTCATCAAGCCACTTACAACATGTCTAGCTTCCCGGCCTCCTCTCTTTGTATAAATAATTAGTGGAGTTTCGTTTCTTCTTCTTCATCTTATGAAATCTAAGTATTTTGCCACTACCTAATATTTTCAAATTGTATAGAAATTTTAGAAACAACCAAAACAAATTTCTTTCTTTTTGTTCTCCTTTCTAATTTGTGTCAAAACATAAATAAAAAGATTGTTTTATCGTACTTGAATTCATCATGTTGAGGTCGTACAATTCATTTTTTCTTTATTAAAAGTGAAGAAATAAAAACAAAAACGTTACCTAACGGATTTGTAATTGCTCCATCTCCTACGATAGCAAAAAGATATCTCACCCATCTGAATTGACAACCGAAGAATTTCTTTAATATCAATCCCACCACTGATCTGTCTTTAATTGAATTAGAGAAAAGTGTGCGAGGAATCAATCTAGCTCAACGATAAGGCTTGTGAATCCAACTTCCACTCGCCTCTATTGATGAATGGCTCTTCAAATGAGTATCATTAGATTGTAGAAGACTCCCGTGATAAGAGGAAAAAAAATCACATATATTAATAAATAATTAATGGTTTTTAAAATTAAAAAAAAAAAAGTGGTATCAACCAATAATGCAGACGTAGAAGGGAGAAGAAGAGCGTAAGAGGACCACTTTTTTTTATTAATTTTAGACGAGTTGGGTTGCGTGTGTGAAAAGAAAAAGCAAAGGGCCACAACGGTAAATTTACCAAACAAAATTATAATTTAGGTTTCTTCAGAAAGAAAATTTATAATTTAGGAATCTCATATAAACCATATAACAAACCAGCTTAGCACGTGACCAACATCCACACTCAGATTTGTCTCCTCCTCAATTACTCCTAACCAGCACGTGATCATTATTATCATCAATATATGATTGACGGCAGAAAGAAAATTCTAAATACGCCCACATCCCAACTTTACTTATAATTAATTAATTACTCCACATTTATATAATTACAAAAAATAATTAAAAAAAAACAGTTACACGTGGTGGTATATTAATACGATGGAGAGGGGTGGGTGTGTCAGCAAGTGATATGAACAAATATCCTCCAAAAAAAAAAAAAAGAAAAAAAAAGATTATGAACAAATATACTTGGTATATGATGGGGGGGCAAAAGCTGCAAAGAGCTACGCTTTGCTTTCCCATCTCACTCTATATATTTATATTTATATTTATATACTTTTTTTTTTTAATTTATTGGGTGGGTGCATGAAAATGAGATAAAGAAATATTCCGGCAAAGATTGATTAGATAGAGAGGGAATTAGATTCCCAAACACACCCACATCACATACCTTTTTCTCTTTTCTTTTTATTTGTTTTCTCTTTTTTAATTATGTGTATAGTTGTTAAAGTCAATCACATGTCTGAGATCCAAACATTTTTGTGCCTACAACTTGATTCAATATACATCCTACTCCAACCCAACTTCTTCAATCTTGTCCTCAATTTATATATTTTTATATGAATTTTTCGATTCGTGAAGGAGGAATAATTTTATATTATAATTGATGTGAGATTTCAACCAAAGTCAGTTATTGACTTTACTAACGAAATTTAAATATCACTTTATCATGGTCATTGAAAATGTAAATCGGTGTTTGTACTTCTATTTTTATTGACAACAATTTCGTTTTAACCCGCAAAATCTCGATTGATCAGAATTCTCCGCTTTGTACTAGATATCCATTTTGAGATGATTTAAATCTATAATACGCTGTACATGACTTTTTAAATTCCTTTTATTGCTGTCCTTTCCATTACAAGTTAAAAAAAAGAGAGATATTTGGATAGAAAAGAAGAATAAAACGCGTAAGAAAAAAATTATAAAAGGTATAAATATGCCAAGAAAATGTGACCTTATTTGTCCCATCACCTTGTCATTGGATGTTACAGACAAATTTAATGTCACTAATATCAAGGTGACACAAACACAATTACGCTCATATTGTGAAAGAAATGAATTTGTAAATTAAGAATTATTCCAGCCTCTATTTATTTTATTTTATTTAAAATTATTACATCATAATATAGGTGGAGATTAATTGGAATCTACCATTTTTAAAAGGGGCAGAGATATTGGGAGTATCTATTTCAATATAGTCACATATTTGGTTGTCCAAAATTTAATAGTTACGGAACAAAAAACATGATTCTTCTCTAAGAAGAAAAGAAAAGAAATTCCTTATCATATATATTAGAGGTTATGATGTTTACGTGTGTGGATTTGATTAGGGAATTTTTTTCTTTGGTGTCACTTTGATTGGTTTATTAAACTTTGGTAGGTCCAAAAATTAAAATAATTGGTCTATAATTAATCTTGATAATGGTGTCGGAGACTTTATGTATAATATGATCAATGTCGTTTAATTATTCTGATAGCGAGTAAGAAATACCCAATAAATACTTTTATTTAGATATTAATTACTAATCTTTCAAAAAAAAAAAGAAGATATTAATTACTAATAGGCAAAAGAGATTAATGATTATTAAAGAAGAAATGTGTACTTCAATATCCAGTTGATTGTGAATTTCAGTTCAAAACTGTGCATATGTGCTCAATTGATTCTTTTTTTAACCCCTTAAATACTAAAATTGAAAAAGAAAAATCAATTTCATTATTATTGTGTTGGGACAAAAATATGCTTTTATTTTTGCAGCATATGTTTATTCTTTTTATTCTCTTTTTGTTTTTTTTTCCCCTCATGGCATGCATCACTTTTCTTTTATTCTGGAACATATTATATATTTACCACTCTTCTTTTCTCCTTTTCTTGCTGATTTTTAATATCTATATAGTGTTGTTATCGTAAGACTTGTCTTCCTAAACATCAAAACTAAACAATATTGAATTAATTGCAAATGTATACTGGATATATCCAATTGATTATATACCATATAGAAAATATTTAGAATAACTATATAACAAAAAGGATAATGTATGTATGTACGTACGTTCAGTAAAAGTTTAGGTATATTGCCGAGGAAAAAGAATATGGATTTCACAGTCAAAATTTTAAATGTCATTGTCGATGAAAATGTCGAGATGTCAATTTCATACAAATATCAATAAAATGTTGATGTCGATGGATATTCCTGTAAAAGTTAGAGAAATTAAAAAATTGTAAAAAATATTTAAATTAACAAATAAACATTCTTCTATTTCTAAATAAGTTAAAAATGATTGATATGATATTATGTATGTATTAGTTAGATTTTGTTGATATTTTTCTACCTTTATTGATATTTTTGTAATATTATGAAAATGTCGATTTACACCTCATGTCGATGTCGAACTACATAGATACATGAAAATATCGATGGTATAGGTATTTAATATCATGCTCACAGCTTGAAATCAAAGTACAACATAATCAAAAGACCTTGAAAATAAAAAAAAAAAAGGAGCAGAAAAAAAAACAAAGAAAAACAACAACCGAATAATTAAAAAAGAAGCACAAACATAAGCATTATAGCTGGAAAATGAAAGCAACTCACTTATGAAAGTAACTCCAAAATAGACTCGGTCAAAGTTCAGGCTATAAAGGGATAGCAAGAGCATAAACATCACCATGAACAAAATGTAAGATAATTGAAGTCGGATGATAGACATTACTATAAATCATGGAACTACGTTCTCTCCAAATATGAGATATATTAGACATAGCTTCAAAAACAATTTTTTCTATTTTTATTTTTATTTTTTTAGTTCAAGAGCATATGAGATGAGAATTTGAACCTCCAACCTTTTTGGTCAAGATAATATTAAAACTTAACATATTAAAGCCACTATGCATTTTGTTTTACAATAAGTTGGATAACAAGTCTAGATAAAAAAAATTTTTTTGTCTCTAAGAGATAGCTTGGGTGGTAAACCCTTTGCATAGGAACCGATATGAGGACACAGGTATAGCGGCATAAAGACTAAAGGCCTCGACTCCTAGCTAGGTAATAAAAAATAACAATTTTATTTTTTTAACAAATTTTTTATTTTCTAATTCAATGTATTTTTTTTTTTTGTTCACTGCCTATTTCCTTTATTTAGTATATATATACAGGAAAAAGTGGAAGGTTCTTCAAATCTTATCTGTTTTGCTGGCTAAATGGTGGGTCTTCTAGCCAGAAATTTATATATCTATATATATAATGTGCATGTAGCTTTTCACTTCATACATGGATGCATGGATACCATACATACATGCACATAAACATATATCTCATCATTTTGTTGGAAAAAAAAAAGGTAAGTAATTGATATTGAGAATAATGGGAAGAAGTTCTCACTAAACAAAATTTCAATCACTTTATACTTTATTGACTTAGACTTCACTTTCATATAAAAGGGAAAATAATGGGTTCAAATAAAAAAAGTGAAAAGAAGTATATACTAAGTAGGTGAATCATTAAATATAGGGGTTTTGATTATTTATGAGTAGCAATAAAAATGCCACTCATGCATATTCATCAATATGGGACGACATCTTTTCAATTTTTCTTTACTCTACTGCTATACATTATTCAGTATTCCCATCACAAAAATAAATCACTATTCACAAATCTTTTTTCTTTTTTCCTGAAAAAAGAATGTTAATGTATATATTTTTCATTAAAACAAAACAAATTATTTCTATGTCGTTTGTGTTGGATAAAGAACCATTACCCTGACATAAATAGATAAATAAATAATAAGGAAAAAGACACTTTAATTTTAATCCATTGTGGCATTTTTTACGGCATGAGAAAATCCACGTTTTTTATCCCCCAACAATTGCCTTATACCGTAGTAGTTAATACAAACTTAACTATGGATCAGACTGCATAGTTATAAATTAAATTTCAAGGATAAAAATACATTTTCAACTTGTAAATCTTTAGAGTTATAAAATTAACTTTGTGAATTGTAGTATCACCTAGATGAGTTTAATATCAGAAACTCTAATAATGTCTCTCGGGATCGATTTTGGAACATGTACGAGTACTCCAATTATAGAAGAGAAAAGCTAAAGGACTATTGATTCCGGACGTGGTAAAGAAAAATGTACTGTATGTAACATAAACGAAATGAGGAGAAAAAGAAAAAGGGAGAAAAGGAAATTAGATGGGATTGGTTTAATGAAATTGCATGCAAAAACAATGTATACATATGTATATTATATAAAATTTGAGGCTGAAACAGACAGGAGAAACAAAGGTACATTCGATTGTGACACTACCACTCAAGCCCATTCCACCATAACTTCACCTTTTTCTTTTATTATTACAACTATTATTTTTATATATCTTCTCTGGAAAAAAAAGTTACACATTATTTTAATCAAGCTAGTTAAAAATTAAATTTCACCTCAGAGATTTTCTTTCCCCTACCTAGGGTTTCTTTTTTTGTGTCCTCACACCTCATGCATGGCCAAACCCCAATTACATTGTATTATATTATTCTGTCTGAGCGCCCACTGTGAATCACAACACTACCAAAAAAGAAGCTTAAAGAATAAGAAACTTAATCAAAATATTCTCCCTCTCTCTCTTCAAACCCTAGACAGAAGGGAAGATTTATAACCTCATATATCCCATATATATATTCTCACTCTCCTTTATCTTTCTTCTCTCCCACTCATCTCTCTTCATCTTTTCTCATCATCAAGCCAAGATCTTTTTTTTTTCCTTTTTTTTTTTGGGTTCTCCTTTTGTTTTTTTGATCTTTAAAATTTGATCACCTCCCACCATGGTTTTCTCATCAGTTCCTGTGTTTCTTGATCCACCCAATTGGCCTACTCAGGTATGGTTTCCATTTTGTTTCAAATTATAAAGATTTTTCTTTCTTTCTCAATTTTAGTTTCTAGCTTCTTCCCTACAAAAGCAAAAATATTCCCCCCTTGCCCCTTTTTTTTGCTACATCTTTTCTTGAATATACCAAATATTTGATTTGGGATGATGGTTTTTGATATCTCAACAGCAGCCAAATCATCTCCAAGGGAGTGGTGGTGAGAATACTACTCAACACCTCCCTCCTCCGGCTCCGCCAGCTGGTGGAGGCGGTGGCGGTAATAATGGAAGTGGCGGACCTGGGTCGATTAGGCCAGGCTCGATGACGGACCGAGCCAGGCTGGCAAAAATACCGCAACCAGAAGCCGGACTAAAATGCCCGAGATGTGAATCCTCAAACACAAAGTTTTGTTACTTCAACAACTACAGCCTGACTCAGCCGCGCCACTTTTGCAAGACCTGTCGGCGGTACTGGACGAGAGGCGGCGCGATGAGGAACGTACCGGTGGGCGGCGGGTGTCGCCGGTCGAGCAAAAGAAGCAAAGGGAGCAGCAACAGGTCAAAATCTCCGGCGGGTTCAAGCACTTCCACAAGCACAGTGTCATCAAACAGTTGCACAACCGATATAATTAGCCATCAACTGGCTCCTCCTCCGCCCACCCACTTGCCCTTTTTACCCCCTCTCCACAATCTCACCGATTTTGGGAACATTGGCTTGAACTTCGAAGGGCTTCAAATTCCTTCACTGCCCTCATCAGGTGGCGTAGAATCCTCAATTTTATCAAGTGGGGTTACGGAAAATCAGCAATGGAAGATACCCTTTTTCGCAAATTTGCAGCAACAAAATGGGATGTATTCCAATTTCATGGCTGAGGATCATAATCAAAATCATGCTGATTTCTCCAATTATCAACGTTTGTCAAAGCCATTACTGGAAACTGGGTTTTCTACTACTCATCAGATGGGGAACAATAGTAATAACAATAGCATGAAAATTATGGATCAGGACACACAAGGGATTAACATTTTGTCGAGGAATTTTCTGGGAATTCAACCAAATGAGCAGTTCTGGAGTAATTCCACTACTACAACTACTGCGGGAAATATTGCATGGACGGATCAGATTTCAGATCATTTCAATTCATCTTCTTCCACCAGCCATCTCTTGTAATTTGGGGGTTTAAATTTTTCCTAATCTCAAAACCAACAACATTTTACAAAAAGAACACTTGGGTAAGTTTTGTATTTTTTTTTTTTTATGTTAATTTTGTAGTACAGGGTTGAAAGAGAATGAAAGCCAGCCAGCTGAGAAATTGGGGCTCGCCCTACGCTTATCGGCTGCTCTCTTATCATATTCTAACATTGAAAAAGATCTGATCACATCATCATCTCAAGAGTGGAGGGGGAAGAACGGAAGGTGAAAATTCAGAATTAGGGGGAAAAAAAAACTTAGTGGGTTTTTAGTGAAAAAGAATTATGGTAGGTTATTTAGCTACTTTTAATGTCGTGGGGTTTGATTATTATTAATATATATATTTTTTTTCTTAATTTATTCAAATGCGGGGTTTAATTTTTAGGAACTTGTTAAATTTGTATTGTGAAGGTTTGATATCTGACATGAGAAGAGCTAGAAGTGTATAACTTTAATGAAATTAAATGAACGATGATCAACTGGTTTTTTAGGTGTATTATATATATATTTTTTAGTTTACGTGTGTGAATCAATATCAGTTGTGTAATTTTTCCAGCTTTAATTTCCCATGCATTTTTATCAATGAAAAAATGGTTCATTTTATCGAATTCATGAATTCCATCTCCAAATGAATCAGTAATAAGAGCATTAGTCCACTTATATTATAAACTATTATTAGGTAATCTCCCATCTTTAAAATTAACCTGAATGAAGCAGCCAACAAATTATTTTAAAAATATAAAAGCTTTTATTTCTATACTCTTGCAGACATTTAAACTTGCATATATGGAGCTGTGGTTAGAAGATAGTCATATTGAATAATTTTCTCCAGCATTTCTTGTTCTTGGGAGATGAAGCTGAAGCTGTTTCTTTTTTTTTTTTTCATTAAATGAGATATTGGAGGTTTAAGTGAAGAGGTAGATACATGCATTTTTGGGCATCTCGATCATCCCCTCATTCTTGAATCTTCGTTTTAGAAAAATCTCAGAAGTCCCATCTGAAAGCTTAGTATCGTATTTTTGGGCAATGTTTAATTGCTGCTGATTTTCTTTTTCAGCTTCCTGAAAAGAAACTGTAGTTTGAATGCATCTAAATTTGTGCCCTCCCCTCCTTTTAGATTCTCCCCTAAAGCCCCCTAAGATAATATTCCTCCCTCATACCCAAACTAAAAAAAAAAAGATTTTTTTTAAGAGAATGTAAAGGATTCTCTTGTACCACTTAATTTTTTTTAGTTTAATGATGATTTGATATGATATTAGAGTCGTAAGACCATCGTAAGTTCAAACATGTTCTCTTAGAAATATTATAGTGCACTAGTTACGTGTTGTACTGATATATCATTTAACTGGTACGAATGGTATCGATGCACATCTGGGATCCAATCACATCCTAGATCTAATAGTGGGAGAAAACCATTAATAAAAACAAAGAAAAAGGAGAAATTTGGTACTCAAGATGATGGAGAATTGTAGCATTTAGGATGTCTTTTGGTTCAAAAAGGGAGTAGGAGGGGGTCTAAGTGAGAGAGCACACTATTCAAATTGGTCAAAAGTAGAAAAAAAGGGAGAAACCCTTCTCTTGACCACTTAACCTTTTTGTTTCGTTTTATTACTTCCCCTTGCTTTCCCATTGATTGTTGTTGTATTTATATTATATGTTGTGTGTGTATTTAAACAAAAGTGAATCAAAGTAAAAGGTAGGGCTGGTTAGAATTTTGCATCATGGTTATGATGTCAGTACTTCCCCATCATTTAGTTCTTATATAGATTTTATTCTTTTTTGAATGGAATCCTTGCTTTGGATTTCTTTTTTATCCCCCACAAAAATCGGATACCTTACTCATTATTAGACTGAAATTAACTTCGGTTGGGATTAATAATCGGAGTTCGCTCCAAAAGCTTAAACTAATGAGTTAGAGTAAATTTAATCTTTTCAAAAGCCCTGAAGATGGAGAAGAAACTACCTATAACAAAAAATTCTCCACACGTCACCCAGAGGGAGATGCAAAGAGAAGAAAAAACACATTCAATTCACTTAAGTTTGCAGATTTGTTTTGTATCGGATAACCGAAAATAGTGTGGCGCGYGCAGCGGGAGAATGAGGAGGGAAGAAGAAGAGAAGAGAAGAGAGAGTGAAGAAAAAGAAAGAGCTCGGAATTCCAAGCTAAGGTATAGGAAGGGTCTTTTTTAAGTTGTGTGGTTGATGGCCACATGCATAGGCGTGAAGATGTTCTCTCTGTTTCCATGGCAGCTTTAGCTTTATCATGTCCTTTGGTTCTTTTACCTTTATCTCTCATCTCATCTCATCTAAGAAAGAAAGAAAGAAATTAAATGAGAGATTCGAATAATGTGTGAGTGTTAGTTCCTTCTAGGTTATAAGGCCTCACGTTGTTCCATATGTTCTCAATCATATGTAAGTTAGATTCTTCGCCATTTTTAGAAATCTCTTTCTTTTATTATTAATCTCTCTATGTTTCAATAGTGTTTTTGAATAGTAATGCTCTCGTCCTTCTGTAGTAATAAATAAAATAATGCCATCAACAAATGGAGATCTAAATATTAATTACAGGTTACTTTTACTATATATTATTTTTTTTCTGAGTTCAAATAGGTTAATTTTACTATTAACTTGCAGTAATGTAATTATTTATGAATGTATCTAGTGTTGTTTTTGGAAACAGAATGTATCTAGTGTTTATTACGTATAATTAATAATGTTCTAATTATACGAATATGATTTAATTAGACTTTGTAATTTTGCATGCTCGTTGAACCGTTATTAATTTACATTTTTTCATGTTTCAACATCCACCATGTTTGAATTTATACCAAAATAGTAAAAAGCGGGTAGCATGATTATTATTCAATTTTCTTTTGAAAAATACAATTTTGGTTTAATACAATTTTGAAAAAACTAAGGCCTGAAAGCAAGTTTACCTTTCTCATTATCCATAATGATATAAATTAACCCATCTTATTATGCTTTAATTATGATTATATTGTGTCTTTCAATTTCCTATAATAAACCTTTTTTTCCTAATATTACATTATAAATAAACTATAATTGATATTTGAACATAACCCGTAAAAGTATTTAAATATATATATGTCAAACAAGACATTTGAATCATATATTGAAAAAACACGTAGCGTCAGAGTATTTGTCTCTTTTGTGTAGGTTTTTTTTCGTCAGAGTGACACTCAAACTTGTCCAAACTAGTCACCTAATTTGACTCGAGTTCCCACCTAGATCGAAAATCTACATTTTTTTCCTTATTTGACAACAACTTTACAAATTAGACCATGGTGGTAGTTGAGAGAGCGAGGGAGGAGAGAACTATAACTTTACTAAATTGAGAGAGAGAGAGAGAGAGATCCTAAATCAAAGGAAGAGACAAGAGAGAGCAATGGAGGGAGGAGATGTGGTTTGAGGGTTTCCTTTTAGGCAATGTGGAGCCAAAGGAGACAAACAATCTTTGACTAAGAAATTATGTCTTATACATTTCTAACAAATTAACTTCCACAACCACAACATCATCATTATGCTTATTTACCCTTAACCCCTCTTCCATTTTCATTATTTCCTTCTTTTTAAATTCTCTCAATTTTTTTTAATCCACATGTGGTGCACATATATGTAAAAGAACAACTCCTATACATATGAATTTGAATGCACCAATCGAATTTCACGTTAAAAAAGAACTTTTACAGAACTTGGACGGTTCCCTAGAGAACCCATCCCTAATCGGAGATTTTCCACCCCGTCCTCCAGGAGTAGGGATGGAAAAATAATTTCCAACAAGGTATGGATGGGATGGCTCCCCATCCCACTCTACTCCGTTGCCATCCCTATTAATAGATAAATTAAAGTTGATTATTGTAGGAATGAAAATTACAATTTTAATGGAGTAATTTTTTTCCCAGAGATTTTAGACGTTAATATTTTCATCTCAAAGTAATTATTATCCTACTTAACTGTTTAAAATTCTCTCTAAATGTATTTGATTTGGATTCTATGAAATCGAGGCAGAATCAATTTCGATATTTGAAATAATGATTAAATTAAACGACACTTTCTCAAAAGAAAAAGATCCTAATTAAAGACAGATGTAGTCTTAATTTTTCTATGATTATAGTATAGTAATAAATAAGAGAGTTTAAATGGATTGGTAATCTTAAATACAACAACAATCATTCTTAGCCCATATTGTAAAATGTCTAAATCTACATAATCCCTTCTGAACTGTGAAAATTTTATTCTTATGCAATATGTTCTAATTTAATTTAGTTAAATTTACTTGTGCAAAGTATATATTTTCAGACTAGAGCTCGATTTTATTTGCTCCAAACAATCAACTTCAATATGGTTCAATGGTTTATGAACTAGAATTAAATTTGATAGAGTAAATTTATTGAATTTTGCAAAAAAAAAAAATTGAAATGAGTTCAAGAGAAAGAGATTTTCACTTTATAATTTGAAAAGGATCGTTTATGTCCAAATAAGTTGATTAGGTACAAAAACGCGTCCGTCTCGATGACGTGATGGTTTTTTTTAAAAAAAGAGAGAGTGATGTGACTTATATTTATTTAAGATGTCATGGACACATATATCTTGTAAGATAAAACTAAACATTTTCAAACCGTGTCAATAAAACATAAATTTACAATCATGGCAAGTGATAATAATAATAATAATAATACATTGCATTTGTTCTCATAAATTCATTGTAGTGATTTAATTTAAGACAAGTTAATGAATCATAAGATGTTGATGTAAGTTTTGATTAATTTGTATTCAAACATTGATATGATTGAATGAAGGACAAATTCAAGATGAAGTTAAATATAATGGAAATCAGACAAAGTTGATGGTGTGTGTGACATTAATTTTTAGAATTTATTATTAAAATTATTGTTTTGTTGTATAAGAGAGAGCTTAGCTTTTGACTGAATTTGGGAATAAATTGTCCACAAATTTAATAACGTGGGGTTATCTTCTTTGTCACATCGCACCTCTCACTCAGTGGAGTCTTATTAAAGTAACATCCCCCAACTTTATTTGATTAACCCTTCAAAATCATACCAATTTTTTTACCTTACTTTTTAGAGAAGGGTTATTTTAAACAATATTTCATGATTTATCATGGATTATTGTTTCTTTTTTATTAAATTACAAAGTTTGGTCCTAAAGTTGATGAGTTGTGTCTATTTAATTCTTCTATTTAGAGCCAAAGCGAACATAACTTAATGGTAATTAACATATATCTTCAACCAAGGGGTTGTAAATTCAATCCCCACCACACATGTTCTACTAAAAAAAAATCTTCAATTTAGAAAATTTTCTAATAGGTCGGTACTCTACTCCAGATTATATCGAATTAAATTTTGATAATTCATGAATTTATGAGATTAACGTTTTGTGAAATAAGATATGAACATGTGGAAGGGTCAAAACATTTTGTGGAAATCCAACTTGGTTGGGCCTGGGGGATTGGAATGAGTTGGTGAAAATCTAAGAAGAATAAGCCCAATGGGCCTTTCTAGGACCAAATTCACCACTTAACAAAAATGGGCTTTGCTTGGGATATGAAGGTTGGCCTTTTCAAGCACGTGTTTTTTTTATTTTATTATTTTTAAAAATATAAATTGCAATAAAGAACAGCATTTAATGATGCAATCACGTAAATAGTAATAATTTCTTCACTAAAAATAAATAAAATTTTATGGTATGGTTTGTTTTGATGTAATTGTGGATGTTCGAGGATTTTTTTTTCCAAGCGGAGAATGAGAATTAAATCTTAGAAGATGATATCTATCAATAATACTGTATCTGAATTGACTTTTAAAAATGAGTAAATTCAAATTAATTCTGTAAGGGATTGAAAATGAGGTGAAATCTATTGCAATATTGTTATCATTAAATTTCAAGATTTCAATGAAATCTTTTTAAAATGTAGAAAACAAAAAATATTAATGAGATCTTAGCCTTAAAAATAAAATTATAATAAAAAGAAAGAAAAACACACACTATAAGAAGTATCAATGGGTATATACGAGGAGCCCTCCCCACCCCCTTCCCTAAAAATAATATTATCTATACTTAGATATATACATGTCATGTAGGCACTATATTAATTACGTCATTTGGTTCTAATAATTTTATTTAATATCTCTCTCTTTTTTGGAATTGGTTTTAGAACGTTGACTTCTTTCAAAAAAGAAAAAAAGAAAAAGAAATTAGAACGTTGACTTAACGGAAGCAGACAAGTCCAGCTTTGATGAGATGGCTTCTAGGAATAACCCCTATGACAACTCATTATATTGAATTGATAAGGATGCCAAGTCATTTCCTATGTAATATGTATTATCCATTTTTTCTAAAATATATATATATATACTATCAGCCTTGATACATCCCAATATATATAACGAGCAATTTTCAATGTATTATCCATAAAAGAAAAAAAAAACTAGTCTTTGGAATTAATATGGATAAATTGAATTAAGCTATAAATACTTTTAAATTTTGAAAATGTTGATTTTTTTGGTATCATATTTGTATGGACGATCACCTTTTTGTTTAGCCTACCTCACTATTAGACAAATTCTTAATATGAATTAACGTAGTTAATCATCATAAGACATATTCTCATCACAACTCAAAATTAGGTGAGATTTGTATAACTTAAAAAATACCATACTTATTTTTTAAAGCAGAATCATCACCATTAAAATAATTTTTTTAGAAACAATGGCTCTATAGGAAGGATTCAGGAGGGTGAAGAAAATTAGAAGTATGACTGAAATCAATTCCCTCGTAGTCCGACTAATGAAGAGGGAAGAAGACGACCTTATGAAAACTTTATTGCGGATTGAAAGAGGCAAAATCCTTAGCTAAAACTGCCAGAGTTTCCTCGATCGAACATATAAGGAGGAACGAAAATCTTTTAGCCCTCATGATTTACATGATGGACAATGGAAAATGAGTCATCGAAAAGTTGAGACTTTTGTAAGTTCAAACACATGACTTTTTGATCGAAAATATAGGTAGAACTAAACTCAGATTGTAATCTAAATTTACATTATTATTTTTTTTTTTGTTCGTTTTTATAGTTTTCATTAACGAATTTATTTTTATTTTTGTAAATTAAACATGTCTAATTTGGACAAAGGTGCATGTGTGAACATGTTTAAAAAATGATCAAGGGAAGCAAATGCGCGTTAATATTATTCCCATAAAGGAATTATTATAATGGAAATGGACCACTTGTTGAGTTGTTTCCTCAATTTACTTGGGACAAAATTGATGTCAAACCATTCAAGGTCAAAATCTGACCAAGCCATAAAATATATATATTAATTCATTCAGTACCAACTTGGCTACCTACTTTAATATATAATCTTCAGAAGCTTCCATGTTTTTTGGGTCAAAACCATACCATATCCTAAGAGTGGGCAAAAAAATTAAACCATACTTGAAATGGAATAAGTTAGCCCACCTCAATAACAATTTCTGTTAGAGAAAACAATTTATAAGAAGAGAAAATATTTGAGAGTAAGGGGAGGAGTCTGTCTATATATATATATATATATATATTTTTAACAAAGAAACACTGTCTTAAAAACAAACAGGACCACTAAGGGTTACATTAAAGTGGTGACCACGCATCACCACCACAATCTACGAATGATAAATGATTGTTCCAAAAGACAGAAAAATGATCAGAAGTGACACATTTAGCTAACAAAACAAATTACTGTTCAAAGAGCTAGGAATATGAACAAATTTTAGCTCACTTAAACACACATCCTCAACCATTCAATGATGTCGGATCGGGGGAGGCTCCTTCAATTAATGAAGTTATCTTTTGAGTTATGTGACACCACATCCACAATTAGAAGGGAAATAATTGCCTTCAAAATTACGGGAGGGAGCTTGTCTTAGAGCGCATAAAAAGTACATTTTCTAAAAATTTATAAGTGGATCAAACAACTGCTTCTAAGAAAAATTAAAAACCAAAAAATATAAATTGAAATAACTATATATCAAACATTACGTCAAAAATTGAAAATTTTCCTTCATAAATATTGCTCTCATATAATGTACGGTTTTGATTGATGACAAACGCAATTGACCCTAAGAAATATTTATTATAAGCTATCAATCTTTTTATTTTTAATAAAATGAATAATTGGTATATTAATTACCAATGATGAAAAAAAAAACCCTCAAAAGTCAACCATTACTGCATGATAGTCTTCCTCATAATTTCTTAGAAATTTGTAGGGTTTGTGACTGAGGAAACGCCATGTTCTAAACTTCGAAGGTTATAAAAGCCTCTGCCATGCAATTTTAATGGCATTTTTAGAGAGAGAGATTTTGGTTTTGGTTTGGTAAGAGAGAGAGAGAGAGAGAGAGAGATGGAAAATTCAAGTGGTTCAAGGGTGACTTGTCTCATATTGAGAATAATAACTTTTGTGTTTCTTTTCATCTCCTTCTTCATTCTTGTCACCACTTCCAAAACCGTCATGGGAGTTAGGCTCCATTTCAACCAATTTCATGCCTATAGGTAACAAAATTAAACTATATAATATGCCTAATAAATCTAATTTAATTTTCTTTCTAACCCCTCTTCTATATCTTAAATTGAAAATTTTGAAGGTACGTGCTAGCTACCATCATCATCGGTATCATCTTAAATCTCTTGCAAATCGCATTCTCGCTCTTCAATACCGTTAAAAACGGTAGTGGCACTATTCTATTCGACTTCTTTGGTGATAAGGTGCGTTATCACGAGATTTTTGAGTTGTCAATTCGTACGTAATTTAGTAGGTAAGACATCTATTATATTCTCTAAAGCAAAACATTTGGTTCTTGACAGTTTTTGTCGTACCTTCTAGCGACGGGGATGGCAGCTGGATTTGGTCTTACGGTGGATTTGCAGACAACAGACGCAGATGATGAGTATGGAGAATTCTTTGATAAGGCATATGCAGCATCAGCTCTTCTTTTATTTGCATTCTTTTGTGCTGCAGCTGTGTCTATTCTCTCTTCCTTTGCACTCTCCAACAGAGCTTAATTAAAAAATTAGTTTCCTAATTATTAATCAGTTCTTTGCTTTCTTTATTTAATTCTTTATCTTTTTCCTCACAACTTGTGTATCGAAAAGGATATTGTTTCCATAAATTATTTTCCTCTATTTTAAGATCATGTATTGGGATGTTGAGAATTAGCTTTTTTAGATTTATCTTGTTTCGTTCATAAAAATTTACCAAATAAATATTATTTTTCTAGGTTTTTTATGGGAGGTTCCTAATTAGAGAATTTCAAAAGATTGAGGATCAAATTAATAATTGAATTAAAAAAAATAGAGACCGTGGATGCATACCAACATGAAGTGTCATCTAGAAACTTTCAAACTCAACTTTTACCTTTGTTATTTAAAATTGATTCAAATATTGCTCCAAAATAATGTCAGGGATAAAACACAAGCTAACAAATATTATCTCAATCATAATTATCGATAATATATGCTATTTAATCTCAGATCAGGTTCTGATTCCAATTATAATGGAATTAAATCAAATTAAAACTATGTTCAAAGAGTAGATAAACCAAATTAAATCTCAAGCAACAAAAACAATAAAATATAGAGAACAAAAATAGACACTGGATTTATTTTGATTCACCCAATAGGGATGTGCATGTTGCACTAAATGTCTGGAGAATCTTCAAGAGTTTACAAATGTTCTACAATGATTTCTCTCACTTTTCTCTCAAAGCAAAATGTTTACGAATCACTCTACGAACTTCGTAAAACTCTTGGAGATTGGAAATTTTCTTCACTCACAGAACACTCACCCTTGAAGGAACTCTCTCCCTCGATAAAAAATCGCCAAAACCCTCATCTCTCTAAATCACATTGATTTTCTCTCTCCTAGGGTGTTAAGAAAGATGAGGCGGCAATGATAATTTTTTTTACATAAAACAAAGGATTAGTACATTGATGGGCTATTTAAAGATTCTAGTTACATAAAAGGATGGAAATTATAGAATTTATACTTTTGTCATGAAAGAAGATGGTACCCATCACCTAAATTACAAAAATATCCTTTTGTATCTACACATTAATATTAAATAGTTTTTAAAATGCATAATTGATTATTTGGAAAGTTATAATTTGAATCCCATAATATTTGCTTAATCATACTTTTCAAAAGTAATTAAAATACCAAAACCTCCAAAAATATCCCCAAATTTGAAAACCTCCAAATTCGAAATCCCCCAATTTGAAATTCCCCAAATTCGAAAATAGTGACCATCCACTTACTCTGTCTGCTTTTGCCATCTCCGAGGTTTTGTATCCATTCGTGTCTTCTTCTCCAGCCGCCGTGTTTGTTCCTCCGTCTACTTCCTCCATCTCTGACGATTCTTATCCATTCGTCTGCTTCATCCATCTCCGAGGTTTTGTATCCATCCCAGAGCAGTTTCATTGGTTCCTTTTCCGTCACCGAGCAACGTTTCTATCGCCGTCTTTGTCTGTTTCCGACATTGAGCAGCGCGTTCCCTCGTCTCCGGTCCCCCCTCTGTTTATCAGAATCGTAAGGTTTGCATCCCAATTTGTCCTAATATTTTCTCGTTCAGATTTGAACAATATTGTATATAATGGGGATATATTGTATATATGTGTATATATCTTATAGTGATTAAGTACTGAATCTGAACAATTTGTCATTAAATCTGTTGAATAGCAAAACAATTTGTCTCAATTTCAACTGTATTGAACGACCTAGGTAGAGGATCGCTTTTGAATCAGATAGGCGGTGTGTTGCTTGAGAATGGACATTATCCCAAAACAAGTATTTATTAGGCTATTACTCTTCTCTTGAACTTTACACTCTCCCCATTCATCTTCAAATTGAGTTTGATTGGGGATTGATTGGTGAGGGCAACCGAACATTTAGGTTCATAAATTAGACAATTAAGAACGTAGCTGAGGATTAGAAAGAAAGAATTAAAGAGCTTCAAAAATTGAACTCACCTGTCAATGTTCTACTTGGATTATATCCAAAACCACTTTGTTTGGATTATATCCGGATATATATTATAACTGTTAAAGTTTAATATGATATAATTTATAATATTCAAGTAGCTGTTGAAAATTATAATTGAACAATTTATAGCTGATTTCATTTATTGAAGCAAAATATATTGTATATATGGGAATATATATATATATATATCTTTATCTTAATTCTAGCTCTTTTATTTGCCTCCGAGACCATCAGGGATTTGTTGAAGGAAACACCTATAGTTGAGAGTTAGGATGGAGCTTAAATGACATTAGAATGTACTTATTCATCCTCCCTGTTTCACTTTCTTCAAAATTCAGGGTTGTGTAGACTGCGTTGTTTTCCACCTGTAGCACTCGCTTGGGACGACATATCTGTTCTTCATATTTTTCCTAATCTGCAGAGTGAGACAAGTCACTATATCCATAATAATATTTTATTTCAAAATTGTTCACGGTGTATACATTATATCCTAGAAATATACAAATGAATACTTAATTGTTAATATTCTATAATAATATGCAATATGTAAGTTATATCCTACTTTAACGATGTATATACATAATGTTAATTACATTGCGAATAATAGTATATTTCAAAAGTACAAGTAGAATATATATTATAACCTATATATAACATAAACATAAAAATCAAATAACGAAACAACATGAATGTAATTAAATGCATAATAAGAAATAATCTATTAGGTAAATAGAGATAGATAAACAGTAATTTAAAAAAAAATTAACATTCATTCATACCCATGTTTCTTTCAATTTATAGCTATATTTGGCGTCAGTCTATTTGTGCTTCTCGTTACTTATCTTTCTGTTAAAGAATAAATCAGAAAAAAAAAATATGAAATATCCATTTGAAACCGGCGGACGTAAGAAAGAAATTGTCAAAGTTTTGAAACAAAAATATCATAAAATTTAAAAATATACATGTAGAAATAAAAAATGTGCGGCAGTTGCATGGGAATCTTTATCTTTTGGATGTCCGGTGGTTGGCCTTATGTCCGGTCGTTCAGCACAAACAAATACAAAGAAAGAGGGAAATCAAAATTTTTTTAGAATGACAGTGATGGCTCCAATGTAATCAAACATTTTAACCAGACTTGTTTTAACAGAATTGGATATTGGAAGTAGTTAAAGAAAAAAATCAAAACTCGTGGTTAATTGCGTGGGAGGAAAAAATCATAAAGACAGCTTTTTATCATAGGCAAAAATCTCGTTTTAAGCCCTTAATTAAGGGATTATGGTTGAAAATTTGAATGGGCCATATTAAAGGAATATGATCATAAATCAAGGATTCAAATCTTTTAAATTAAAGAAAAAAGAAAACTATAATAAAAGTAAATATAATAAATAAAGGTAAAATCGGTATTAAAAGAAAAGCCTACCCACAGACATCTAAAAGTGTAAAATTTGAAAAAACGATTCAATTGATGGAATTTGGTATGATACTTATGAGATCGATGAGATTGATATTTCAATCTTTCTTTTCGAACTTATTGATTTGACTCCATAAACGGGACTTGAAAAACTAAAGACATTTTTGTAATTAAGTTTGAAAAATAGCCCCAAACCATTATCTCTAAAACAAAATTACCATTTGGTGATCTTCTGGGCCTTGGCATGATTTGGCCCAACAACTCTTATTTATGGCTCAACAAATAATTTTACAGCTTAAATTAAGTGATTGATATTGACATGGTTGCTAAGTTGTAAATGGGACAACCATAAATATGGTTTTTGGAAGATAAACGAGTAAACGTGATAAGTATTTGATCATAATCGCAAGGAAACTACTTTTCAAACCATATTTCGATTCACATTGTTTAGTGGTTATTGATACTGGGTCATCTTTATCATTAATTTTTTTAAAAAAATTTCCACTTCCAAGTATTATATCGAAAATGTTTTAACAATAAAATTATTTATAGGTATATTTAAATAAATTTAAAAATCAAAAGTAGAAGTGAAGCTTTTTAAACAACAAAATATATAATTTAAATAAACCTCAAAATTGAGTGACATTTAGACTAATTTACCTTCAATAGTTAAACGCCCTCTTCAATCCATGCTCCTTGCGTTCTTAGCGTTTACATCGAATCATTGTCAATCTGTTGGTTTTTCCCACCAAAAACCAATCAAAATTTTGGATCTTTTAAGAAAAATTTTCTCTTTTAACCTATCATCTTGCTTTATTGTTTTTTTTAGGGATATGCGATAAGCTATTGTCATAGTTACTAATAATTAGGATCATAAATCTCTAATTAGGATAATAAATAATATCATATTAGAAATGGGAAATATCGTTGTCTCGTTCTCATATCAATTACTAGTTGTTCTCATATCAATTACTAGTTTTTCTCCTTCACTGATCACTATTCTTATTCATCTCTTCTTTCCTTCTTTCTCCCTTTCATTTTTCATCAATTTTTAGAAATTATTTTTCAATGATATGAATGGTCAACTTACAATCATAATGTACTCCAAAAAAAAAACCTTACAATCATAATAGTTGTTATAAATGTGAATTAATTGTTCATTAAAGTCCAAAATTTTCTAGCTCTTCTTCACTTTGTCAAAATATCTTTAAATTAGACTATCATATTGATACATATATATGTAGAATAATAGACCCTAGAAAATTAAACAATATAATTATTACATAAGCTTAATTAATCAACGAGGACAGCTAAGCAATGGATGGGATCGGAGAAATCAATTTTAAGATAAATTTCTTCAAAATTAGGTTGAATTATTGTAAGGAAATCCAATAATTCAAGCAAACGGGCTGATCTTGCTAAAATGGTAAAAGTAAAAATCAATTGATAATTAGAGAATATTTTCTTTTTTCATTATTAAAAAAACGCTAGAAGGAGGGCTTGAACCTCCGACCTTGTGGTTAACAGCCACACGCTCTAACCAACTGAGCTATTCCAGCTATTGATAAGATAAGGACTTTTTTTGGAGTCACAAATCTTCATCAAATCTCATTTTTAGACCGGATGCTAGTTTGAATTTTTTGGACGTTAATACCATATTAATATCTATAAGTCCATCTCAAAGCCAATAAATTGAAAATGAGAGGGGTAGCCCGTGTATTATATTATAAACTCTTATTAGATTCTCTATATTTTCAGTGATCACGATGTCATATAACTCAAGAATTAGAGGATGATGGAGAAGAAAATGTTCAAAATATATAGAAATTTTTGCAAAATGATTAGTAAGACTAACTGGTCAACTTAAGAAAAAGTCAAAGAGGAATAAAAATAGAATAATTAAGGACGACGACTCGAAACATGCCTTATTGTTTGACAAAAGTGTTGAGAGAATTAACTCCGGCGCCATTTCCGGCTGGTGGACGGACTGAGCACGTTGGCTGGGGACTTATCGGCGATTCCACGTGTTCAATTTCTTGCCTTTTAATTTTTTTTTCTTATCCAAAGTAAACGATCCACATGCACATTCTATTAAAATATCAGATTACAATAATTTACAAGTTAATATTAGTATTATGTGATATTAATTAACATTAATTACTCACTATATTGGATTGGCTAATACTTGATTAATTTGGCTAAACATATAAAAATAAATTGCACCATATTTTTTTCCATTAAATATTTAAACTATAATTAACTGAGAAATTATTAAAAAAAAAGTTTAAAATTTAAGAAATTAAAACATATATATAATTCTTTTGATTAAATTAGAAAAGGAAGGTGAGTTTTTAAATAAAAAGAAAATTATTTTAACTAAAAATCCGAAAGTAGGGTTGACGAAGAAACGCAAAGACTTTGTATACGAGGGAGATGGTTTTTGAGCAGTTAAGCGGTTGACTTGGAATTTTAAAAAATCTATATCAAAAAACAAAAACGAAGATCGAAGATTATCATGGGAAAAACATTAAAAATTGTAATTTATAACATTAAAAAAAATCAACTAGCTCAACTTGCTCCCTTAAATTCCACCATACTGCTTCAAATACCTCGACTTATGATCGAGACCAAATGGAAAAATCATAATTAAAAATGTTATCTTTCAAACAAAAAGAAAAAAAACACATATATAATAATAATAATAACTTAATTGTAATTTTGGGTTATATGAGATACAAAACAATTTAAATAAAAATTTTGTAAGCCCTGGCCGCCACTTAAGGTAAATTGAGAGGATATGAGTTCAAATCCATGATGGCGATAGGTAAACTCACCATACTTGCGACCAATGAACCATCTATCATGAGTTAAAAAAATTTATAAACACGATTGAAATTCAATCCGCAGGGTAACTTGCCAATTAATATAATGTAATAATTATTATTCTATTTTATATTTTGTTAAATAAATGGATACGTTAACGGATGAAGTGGCATCCAAGATAAATACTTTGATAAGGTAAATTCTATTATTCAAATGTTAGTCGTGTTAAAGTATATAATACTAAAATTGAAATGGTGAAATGAAAGCAGGTTGGATTATTTAATTAAGAGAGCGATGACAAATTTAAATTAAGGGAAAAAAAAGGTACAAGTTGCTTGTTTTAAAACATATTGAAGTCCGCCATAAGATAAAGAATAATTGGCCTAGAAAAATACCAAGTCTATTAGGCTGTTTCTTTGTTTTTGTTGCATATTAGAAAATATAAATATATCTTCACACACGGTTTTACTTTTTAATTATATATATATATATATATATAGAAGCAAAAGCGATTGGATTTGCGCAAAAATTTGAAGATTATCAGAGTTTTGAAGGGAGAGATGGCAGCCTCGAAAGGTTCAAGAATTGCTTCACTTATATTAAGAATTCTGACTTTTGTTTTGATCTTCATTTCTCTGTTAATCATCGCCACCAATTCTAAAACCGTGCTCAAAGGAACTGAAGCCGAAGCAAAAGTTGAGTTTAAAGATGTTTATTCCTATCGGTAAGCAATCAATAATTCTTCACTAATTTTTTTTCTTTCTTTCTTTCTTTTTGAAATTAATCTATAAGTGATGATCTTGATTATGTTTTTATAATTAGTTAAAATTATGTGAAGGTACTTGACGGCAGCTGCTGTTATAGGAGCTGCTTTGAGTTTGTTGCAAATTGCTCTCACCCTTTACCATGTCGTTACCAAAAGTGATGGAACTCCCTTCTTCGATATGTTCAGTGATAAGGTATTTTTTCTTAATCCATAGGATTTTGATTAATTTCTCAGGTGTGGGATGTTCAACCTCATTTCCTCTTTTCTTGATAAGTTTTTCATTCGGTCTCTTCAAAAATATTTGAATTCTTAACCAAATTTCATAAAAGAAATTAAACTTACTAGTTTTCTTAATTTGACTTAACTTTTGAAAATATTTATCCTATCAAGATAAATGAAGATACAATACAATGTTTTTAAGTTTAATTTTTATAGACGGAAATTAAAAATGAAATTATTTTCAACAATCTTAAGCATGAATAAACCACCACTATTTTGATATCTAATACAAAACTTAACAAGTGGAAATCATAATAAATGAATAAATCGTCGCTCAATTCAAAAGTTTAAGTAGATAGATTTGATAAATTTAACTCATATATTAAATATCTAATACTCCTCTTATTAGTGTTTAAAGAGTATTAGCATCAGGGATCCTCAAACAAACAAAGGAGTATTAGTATTTAGTATAATAATAATTAAGAAGAAAAATTTCATTCATATGAGACAGTTAATTTTGTTTTATTTAGTTGAGCGAATTTAATTTTGTTTATTAGTTCCTGGATTTTGACGTTATACTATGAATAATTATCATATAAAATATCGAAAATAGAGCAACAAATTGATGAAAAGGAAAGTGCCGTGGGGATAAGAGCTGAGTGTGTGTAGGGTCGTTGACTTCAATTTTTCGATTTCTTCCACATATTCCCTTCAAGAAATAGGGATACAATATTAGAAAAAATATATTTCTATCTAAAAAAGTTTTATCTTTCTCGGGTGTGTGTCTTTTTCTGTTTTATTTGTCAACTGAAAAGAAATAGAAATATAATTCCATTTATTATTTTTAAATTTTATTTCAAAGAAACTCAAATGTTTTACGAGAAAATTTTGATTTATTTTCTTTAAATTAATTGAAATTATATGCAATCTTTTACCTTATGCATTGATTTGAGTGGAAGAAACAAAAAAATAAATAAATTCGTATATAGTTTTTAGAACATTGACGAAATATTATTTATTCATATCATCAGAAACAAGAAATATAAATGTTATCAAACATAACTAACGCGAGTTTGTATACAGCTCTTGACGTACCTTTTATTATCGGGCGCCTCGGCGGGACTGGGCGCTGGAATCGATCTGAGATCGAACTATAAAGATCTAGTTGGCAACATTTTCAACTCATTTTTCGACAAGGGCAGTGCCTCAGCTGCTATTCTTCTCCTTGCCTTTATTTGCAGTGCCGTCGTCTCTATTCTCTCTTCCTTGGCCCTCGTCAGAAAACCCTAATTAATTTTCATTTCTTCCATTTTAATTTCCATAAAGCTTTTTTTTTTCTTTCTTTTGGTTTGTGTTTAAACATTTGTAATGTTGGAGTGCATTTGCTGAATTATGTATTTAACCCCTCTTCTATAATATATGTTAGTGCTATGGTTTAGCTTGTTTATTATTTAAATTATCAATTGTTTGCCATCATCCTACATCAAATCTCGATTTAATGCTTTAACTTATTTGTACTGAAGAATATTAAATTTGTAAATAATTTTTCTATAAAAAAATAATAATAAAAATAAAAACTTTACTGTACCCCTTTTTATTATTTATGGTCAAGTCAAGGTTGAAAAATGAGGAGTTGGCATAATTACATTTACAGCCTCTTTGCTTGAATATTTAAACCGCAGTATGAGCAGTAGCTTATTTCGATGGTGTAGATTACATTATTAAATAATATTTTTTGAATTAGAATTTTTGTGTTTGAATTATTATGAAATTATAGAAATATTATAAATAGTTTATCAAAGCCTATTAATTGCCCCAAATCTAAGCGCGGGATCCTTTGGAGCAATCCAGTAGGCTCATACTTTGACACCCTTTGGAGCAATCCAGTAGGCTCATACTTTGACACCCTTTGAAGCAATCCAGTAGGCTCATACTTTGACACCTTTGGTTGGAAGGCAATAATCGAATTTTTGACAACAACAAGAAGTCCATTATCCATTTTTGGGAGGACATTAAAGTTGCCGTTTCTATCCTTTCAAAAAAAAAAAAGAAAAGGTGTATCAGAGCTAACTATTTACTATTTGAACTAAGAGTACATAGTGGGAGACGACAAAAAAAAATATCTTCCTCTTTCTTTCCTTCTTCTTCGTTCGGCCTTTCATCGTTATTGTTCTTCTCTCGAAATTTCATTTCAAATAAAAGTGAAGAACACAAATAATTGAAACTTTTGAAAACACGGAAGATTGAATTGAAGCGAAGTGAAAGCAAGCCAACTTGCTGCTGTTTTTGGTCAACTTTGAATGTGGATAGCAGCAATGCAATTGGCAATTGGCAATTGGCATCTTAAAGGGTACATTGTACAGCCCCTTTGGTTGAATATACAAAAAGTCACGTTGTCCACTACATCCCCCAGTTTTCCCTCATTTCCCAATCATTCCTTGTGGGAAACTAAAAACCAAATTAGTTTGGCAGACGAAGACCAAAAAAAGTCTATGGTTTCTTTTCCTGTGGCTATAAAAGCTATGGAATGAAAGATAAACATACATTGATTACCATTTAGAAGATATCAGAGAAATGGAAGCCACAATCACAATGGGTTCAAAGATTGCTTCTCTTGTGCTCAGAGTTGTCACTTTCGTTTTCCTCTTCATTTCCATCATAGTGTTGGCCACCAATTCCCAAGGCAATATTCATTTCCATAATGTCAATTCCTATAGGTATAATAACTATCCTTCTTAATTTATTTATTTACTTTTTTTTTCTAACGATGTATTTTATTAAGTGATGGAAAGAACTTTGGAATTTTGAAGGTTTGCGATGGCAACCATCATTATTGGAGGTGCATTCAATCTCTTGCAAATTGCCTTGTCCCTTTATTATATCATATCCAAAAGCCACGGCAATCTTTTATTCTATTTCTACGGTGACAAGGTATATAGTAAAGTAATGTTTGAGTATTGTTTTTACAATTTAGTTAGATATTCATTAAATTTATCCGGTCCATGAGTAATGGTTTATTCATCTTAAGATGATATCAGTATGGAATATTCGAATTTGTGTTGTTGTTTCTTCTTCGTTTATCATGATTTCCACTTATTGGGTGGTTAGGTTTTGTCGTACGTTCTGCTGTCGGGAGCTGCGGCGGGACTGGGTGGCGGCATAGATTTGAATGCGAATATTGAAGGGATGGGGTCGTTCTTCGGGAAGGGCAATGCGGCGGCGGCTCTTCTGCTGATTGCGTTTCTTTGCAGTGCTGCCATCTCAATTCTTTCCTCTCTGGCCCTCTCCAACAAACCTAATTAAAAATAAATGTACTCTCTTTTTTACTAGGAAAATTATACCATCTCTTTTTTCTTGATTTATTTTTTGCAATTTACCTTTTAAATTACTTGGCTGTGCGGTATGAGTTTTAGCATTTTCCTTTGCAGAAGAAGTGAAGTAAAGATTTGATTTTGTTTCTCCTTTCACGTGCCAATGAATATAATATAGGATGGTGAAACTTTTTTTTAATACAACCTTGGGGTGAGAATTCAAACTAGGTCGTAGGTCAAATTAACCAAAATCATTTAGTCAATTTGAATATAGTTCAATTTGTTAAAGCAAATATGAATTTTTTCTTCTTGGTTCTTTATTTGATACACTAATAATAATAAGAAGGTATAATTGTAATTCAACTAGTCAACACCTCGTTATAAGTTTGGTCAAAAAAAGAAAAAAAAAAAAATATATATATATATATATATATATAAAAGTTAAAATTTTCACCCTCAATTTTTAAATTGTAAATATTTATATAAAAAATGATATACAGTTAAGAGTATTAATTTTTACTTGAATGTCTGATTATTTAAAAAGAAATAACCCCTTAAAATATATGTTTCTTTATTTGGGATTTCAAAAATGAAAAATAGAAATAAAGAAAATAACATATTTAAGAAAGTATACTATCAAATTACCGTAGACAACAATTTAATTAGAAAAAAATATCTGAATTCAATTTTTTTTAACTATAAATTTATATCTTGAAACAAACTCTTCTTAATTAACTATTAATCCAATAATCTTTACTGTTTTTATAATGGTTATTTTCCAAAAAAAAAACAGAAATTTTGCAACTATCCTAAAATTAATTAGGTTTATAAAATAATTTTCCGGCTTTTTGTTTGTTCTTTTCTAAGAGATCAGTTTATTTACAAAGAAAACAAACACAATCAATTTTTAAGTTTTTTTTTTAGTACAATTGTTAATTTTAAGTTGAACAATAAAAATAGTCGAAAATA